GCAATTTGGATAGGTCAATGTGGTTTTATTTTCAATAAACGAGATCGAACAGAAGATCAACTCCGAGATCAGTAGGCAGTTGTGGTCTTTTATTTAAAATTCCCGCTTGCTACAGTTCAGGTCAACTCAATCTCCACTAAATACCACCGGGTATTTAACATTGGTCCTTCGAGACGGATCGTTTGGACAGGCCTTTTGAGTTCAAAGCGGCCACCGCTAGCCCGCTTCTCCGTGTTCTTGTAGTGGATCGCTACAGAGAGGTACACGAGTCCTCCGCACCAGCGGCGACAGCTTCACCCAGCATAGGCGGTGAGCTGAGCCAGCTTTAGCGGATTAGTTCAAGAAGTGGCCACCACAGGGCGCCACTCTCAGGTCAACACACCAGACGACGCAGCCAGTGACGCGACGTTGCAGGAGACGTCAAGCACAGTAGCGCCCACAACCACCACTTGCAGGTCAAAGGTGTTTGGGTGAAGTGCAGTTTCGTGAGTAAATTTTGTTTAATTACATGGTCCACAAATCGAGTGAATTTGAACTCTATTCGAACGTCAATTTAAACTTTGAAAAAATAAAGAACTATCTTGAACTTGTAAAATTTTGAGGACTATTTTAGACTTAGTTTATTTTAGTATTTTTTCAATTTGTGTGCATGTTAGTATTAGGACGGGGGAACCTATGCCCGATTTCTACCAGATTTTATGCGTTTCCAAACACTTGTAAAATTTTCAAAGGTGTTTTGATACTTGTATTATTTCTGGAATTTTTATTTTGTCAACATAGATTTGAAACACTTTGTTTTAAATAAAAACAAGTTTTATACATAGTTTTATCAACAATACATTGTTATTTACAAGGTTAAATCAATTTAGACACATTTTATTTATTTACAAAATCAAATAAATAATAAAATGGAAGGATTAATTAAAGTTTTAAGAGATCAACAAAATGTTATAACAAAGGGATTAACTAATTTAAAAAAATGTGGTAAAGATAGGTTAAGCATAGAGTATATAGAAACCAGACAAGAATTATTAGAAAGAGATTGGGCATTGTTTAAAGAAAATAATACTAAGTTATACGAAAGTTTCAAAGCAGAAGATATATCACAAAGGGTTGTTGATATTTATGATGCTACAGAGGACACTTATATTGTTTACTAAAGCTTAATGAAAACTACCCTTAACACAATTCGGTCAGCTAAAGATTCTTTAAATAAAGCCAATACTTTTAGCACTATTAATAAATCAAGTAGTTCTTTCGTAAAGTTGCCCAAAATATCCATTCCAATATTCTCAGGAAAGTATGATGAATGGACAACATTCCACGATCTCTTTACCTCATTGGTACATAATAATGAATCTTTAGATAATGTACAAAGGCTTCATTACCTAAAGAGCCCCCTTTCCGCTGAAGCAGAACAATTGATTCGTCACACACTTGTAACTGATGCCAATTATATTCAGTGCTGGAATTAATTACAGAATAATAATAATAATAATAATAATAATGATTTATTTGCAAGAAATATGGTAGTTACAGGATTAATAATTTGGTATGGTACAATCATATTTCGCCAGTGGCATGCAAATATACAATTTTATAATTGTCAGTCTAGTGCTATACAAATGTTTTATGGATATCTATGATTAATTACAATTTAGTGATAAACCTAGGAATAAAATCTCACAAGATAAATAACACACATATACATAAAAGTTAACAATAAACAAGAAATAATACAAAATTTGATCCAGTCTTAATACCAAAATAAAATAAAATAAAAAAAATAAAAAATGTCAAGTTAAGGTGTACATGTCAACAGTTATCAAGGCAAGTCAAGATTATATCAAAATATCACTTTGGTCTATAACAATAAAATTCATCTAGGGAATAAAAACAATTCTGAATAAGCCATTGTTTCAATGTTTTTTGAAAGAAGTTAAATGGCAATTTTCGAATATCGCTGGGGATTTTATTATATACTCTTATACACATATTAGGACAGCTCTTCTGATAAAAGACAGTTTTACACTTTCGTAAATTTAATCTTGTAACATCTCTATGCGGAAATGTTTTGTCTGTATAATTATCAATACATCTTTGAAATAAATGTGGATATTTTTTTTACAAATGTTCCAATTTCATACACGTACATGCAACACAATGTCATAAGTTTTAACTGTTTAAAAAGTGTTTTACAAGAATCAAAAGGTCCACATCTACAAATCGCTCGTACACATTTCTTTTGGATGAGAAATGCTCTATTAAAAACCGTTGAATTGCCCCAGATGAATAAACCATACCGTAGCACGGACGCTACATATCCATGATAAGCTGTTATAGCAGCTTCTTTACTTGTTATATTGGTTAGTCTTTTAAGTGCATAAACGAATTTATCTAATTTATCACACATTAAGCTTATATGGCTTTTCCAACTACAGTGCTGGTCTAAAATAAGGCCGAGGAATTTTATTTCAGCAACCTTTTCAATTTCTTGATTATGACTCACGACTTTTATTTTAGGGATAGTTGCCCGGTTAGTGCAGAATGTAATATATTTAGTTTTGAGTAGATTGGGACATAAATTATTACTTTCGAGCCAATTTATTGTAGATGTGACAGTATTGTTAACTTTATGTTCATAATCAGATGGCTTTTCTTTACCTGTTATTATAACTGATATATCATCGGCATATAGAGTACAATGTTGATCGATTGCCAATGGAAGGTCATTAATATATAAAATAAAAAGTAAAGGACCAAGAATTGTACCTTGTGGCACACCTTTCGTAGTGGGTTGTAATTTAGAGCTATATGTGACATGTTCATTAAATTCATTAATCCTAGTTATTTGAACGCATTGTGTTCTGTCACTTAAATAAGATTGTATCCATTGGAATGCAAGTCCTCTAATGCCATATTTTTCAATTTTATTTAGTAACAGTTCGTGGTCTACAAAATCGAATGCTTTACTCATATCGAAAAAGACACCAGTAACTTTCATACCATTATCAATGTTTTCTGTTATGTGCTGAGTTAGTATGTAATTAGCTAGTGTTGTTGATTTTCTTTTTGAAAACCGTTTTGTTCTTCTCGTAAAATCTTATGTTTATTTAGAAAACTATTCAGTCTAGTATGCATTGCTTTTTCAAATACTTTGGCTAATATTGGTATAAGAGCAATAGGTCTATAATTATTAATTTCTTTTTTGTTGCCCGCTTTATGAATTGGCTTAATCACAGAAATTTTAAGTTTGTTTGGAAAGATTCCATATTCAAATGATATATTAATGATATAAGAAAGAACTGGAGATACTAAATCAGCACAAGACTTTAAAATTTTTGTGGAGATTCCGTCATAACCCACTGAATTTGTATTATTTAACCCTTGTATAATTTTTTGAATTTCTTCTGCAGAGCAGGGTTGCAGAAATATACTGTTATTTTTAACATTAACGTACTTTAAGGGAAAACTTTTATTTTTTATCATAGTTTTTTTTGGTAAATTTGTAAAGAAGCTGTTAAATATATTTGCTATTTCTCCAGGATCTTTAATCAATGTTTCATTTTTGTGAATCGAAGTAATGTCCTTATTTTTCCGTAAATCATTTGATGACTCTTTGATGAGATTCCAAGTAGCTTTACATTTATTTTTAGCTTTATTAATGAACTTATTGTTTGTGTTGCTTTTTGCTTTAATGATACAAGATTTTAAGATTTTACTATATGTCCTGACATGTGTCTTCATACTATCTGTTTTGTTTTTAAAAAATAAAGACATTAATTTTCTTTTTGTGCAACATGATTTTTTAATTCCTTTTGTGATCCATTTTGTGACCGAATTGAATCTTTTTATATTAATTCTTAAAGTGGGAAAACAAAGATCATATAACATTATCAAAGTTTCATGAAAATTATTGAAAGCGGAATTAACATCCTTGTCTTCGATTACATCTTTCCATGAGATACTGGAAAGGCACTGTCTGAATTTTGTAATATATTCTTTGTTATAATCCCTAATAAATATAAAGTAATGTGAGTTAAATTTGTGGGTTAAAGCTGCCGGTGTGAATTCTAACGTTTGTGCTGTGTCATGGTCTGATAAATGAAGTACATGTGTTTTACCTATTGCATCAGGGATATTGCTTGCAATATGGTCTAAGCATGATGTTTTGCGAGTTGGGCCCAATATATGTGATTTTAAATTATAATTTGCTAAAATTCCTTTTAATTCTATCGACAATTTATTATTTACAAGAGTATTAATATTAAAATCACCTGCTATTACAATTTTTTTATTTTTTATATGTGATAGTTTATTTAATAGTACTTGTAATTTGTTAAAGAAAATAAATGCATTCGAATTTGGTGTTCTGTAAAGACATATAATAATACAATTCCAATATGGTATTTCTACTCCACAACACTCAAAAGATTTTTCTACTGATATTTCATTACAATAGTTTATAACATTAAACTCATATTGTTTCCTTACTAAAATACAAACACCGCCACGGCATTCACTTAATCTACCATAGGAACTAGCAATTCGAAAATTTTTCAAATTTATGTTATTTTCATGTCCTGATTTAATAAAACTTTCAGTAAAACAAAGAACGTTCAAATATATGTGTGTTTCAGTAAGTTCATTAATACATATTTCTACCATTAATAATTTGTTGAGAAGTCCAGCTATATTTTGATGAAAAATTACAACTTTATCATTTAATTCATTTAAATTAACGAAAGGAATTATTTTTTTGTTTTTAATCTGTGTCATGCAAAGATATGTTTGTTGATATTTCTTTTTTATTGAATTTTTTAAAATAATACGGTATTGTTCCCTTTTGTATGACTTGATGTGTTTCAGATTGATCATTTATGTTTATTATTTGTTTTTTTGTGGATAATGCGTTTTGCATTTTCATAAAATAATAGGGTATAGTACCTGGTTTGTGAACAGTTGACAAGATGGTTTTCGATGCTTTGAACTTTAAAAACTTATTCGAATAATCCTTTGAGTCTATTAACGAATTAATTTTATAACAAAGTTTGTCAAAATATTGTTTCTTACTTAGTAATCTACTTGATAAATATATAAAATTACAATTATTCATGTTATTACACATTATTTTTAGTGTTTGATTTAATTTAACTGTATTAAGATAATTGTTTTTATTTATGCTTAATAATATAATATTTAAATTACGCATATACCTTAAAGCAGACGAAAGTTCAATACTAAGTTTAGTAGGAGTTGTGTCATTTTCACCAACACACAGTATAACATAGTTTGATTCGTTCGGCTGAAGTTTATAACAAGACTTTAATATTTCTTCTGCCGTAGCATAAGGCTTAGTAATTGATGAGATATTATATTTATTATATCTTGATTGCTGTCTTGAAATTATTAAATGTGACGAAAGCCCGACGCATTGTTGACTGCCTATTATAAATATTTTCTTTTCAAAATTGTTCTTGGATTCTTTATTTGTAGGTTTGTTGAGATTATTAGTTTGAGTACTAGCAGTGTCATCTTGCGGTAATAGTTGGGACTTTATGCATTTATTGTTAGTGGATTGGAAATATTGTTCTTGAATTTGGCGATAGGTTTCAGTTTGTTTACTTTGAGTCAAACTATCATTTCTTATCTGTAATTCCTGGAAACTTTTATTAAGTTCCTCTAGTGAATTATCCTTACGTAATTGTCTTTTAACTATTTTTTTCGTAGAATCATATTTTTTTGTGCTAGTAGTGGATTCGGTAGCAAGTTTTTTTAGGTTTTCTATAGTTTTTTGCTGATCCTTTAATTTTTTAGATAAGTTATATATTTCATAGTTTAAGTTATCAATTTCACCATTAGCACTATCCAATTTCTTCTGTAATTTTTTTATTTCTTCCCTTAATTCGTCTGTATCACTGTCATAACCAATCGATAGATCGGGTAGGCTGTGTCTTCTACAATCCGATCTATGTGATATAAAGGAGCAATCAAAAGAATCATTTGTCTTCCGTTTACGAATTGTGATATTGTCAATTTCCATTTTTTCCTTTTGTAAATATAAATATGATGATAGTCAATTTTTGTTGTTATTCCTTATAAATAATAAAAAGAAAGAGAAAGAAAAAAAGAACATGAATTTATTTTATAATATCTATATGGATTTGATCTGCCGATTATAGATACACAGATACAAGTTCTGGAGTCTTATGGTAATTGAGCTATTTTAACTACTTGAGAGTTGACGAAATTACTCACTAAATACTTGTTTCTTTTATTTTAGAGTGTGGGTTGTATTGTTCTAAATATAAGCCACTTCACATTTAAATATTTTAACGAAGTACCCCATTTTCACAACACATATTCCTTTTTTGTCTTGTTTTTATTAACTTTTATTGATTTTTTTGCATTACGTACAGTTTAAACTACTTTGGTATTTAAATTTTGCACTGATTTCGTAGTAATACACTAATTGTTGTCACTATAAATTGTGGTCACTACAAATTTTAAAACTTTTCAACAATTTGTCTCTTGTTACTTTAAGATAACTTAGGATATTGATGTGTGTATAGAATCCTAGTTGTGCCAGCGTTTTTGATAAAATTTATTCACTTTTACTATTTAAAATCGAATTAAATTCGCGGAGCGAACAGCGGCTACACGACACGTCAATTTTTAAAAGAAGCGTTATAACAATAAGAAATATTTAACAAATTGTTTTCTTAAACGGTTGTTTAATCAAAAACGTATGCAGGTGGAATCATCTACAGCTCTGAAGGAGCTGCTTGATACCACTTGTGACTGTCTTAATGCGTTGAACAATTTGTGTATTAACATGAGCACATGGGATGTTATTATAATTCACATAGTTTCATTTAAATCAGATAACGAAACGCGTAAGCAATGGGAGCTTAGTGTTGGCAACAATGACTCCAGCAATGACTTACCAACTTTCAACCAATTTAAGTCTTTTATAGAAAATCGGTTTCGTGCGTTAGAATGTTTAGATCCTAAAAGGGTACCAGTTCACCAGGACCACGATATTAATAAACCCTCAATTGCTCACTCTCCGAAGGCAATGTTGGCTACGAGTTCATCAATGCGATGGGAGTTTTGCTCAGAAGGACACAAATTATGTTTCTGTAAGAAGTTCTCAAAACAGACGGTTGAAGCACGTCATTATTTTGTGGCAAAACATAAAATTTGTTTCAACTGTTTAGGAGGCAATCACATGGTTTCGGAATGTAGAAAGCCCACTACATGTAAGGTTTGTCAAAGGCGCCATCATTCGCTACTACATATTATTAACCAGGAGTCGGACAAAAGGGATCAACCTTCGACGGCAACTGTCGATAGTGTTAGTTCACGTAATGCTAGCCTGATTGTTTCATTTCTGTCAATAGGTAATAGTCCCAAGCCCCGACAGGTTTTATTAGCCACAGCGCTAAGAAAAGCCGAGTCACGCTCTGGTGACTTTCAGATGGTCCGAGCCTTGCTCGATCAGGGTTCGCAGGCATGTTTTATTACAGAGGCCGTAGTTCAGCTGCTCAACCTGAAAAAAATCCCGATCCAAGGAACTATCTTAGGCTTTGGCGGCAATAGTTCAACCAAAGCAACGTACATGGTACATTTAAATATAAAATTGCGAGTAGATCCTGTATTCAGTCTTATGATTAACGTTTACGTACTTACCAAAATCACGTCATACTTACCTGAACATAAAGTACACACTACTTTAGGTTGGTTAGGCGTTAATACGCTACAGCTTGCAGATCCAGAATTCAACACGCCCAATAAGATAGACGTGTTGTTGGGCGCTGATGCTTACAGTTGCATTATTAAGGCAGGTATTGTTAAGAGCCCGTCCGGCACGCTGATTGCTCAAAACACTACCTTAGGGTGGGTCCTGTCTGGCGCTGTCAGTAGGGACAGTTCAACATAATTAATGTCTTGCATGCACAACTTAGTGATGACGAATTATTAAGACGATTTTGGGAAATTGAAGAGCAAAATAGTTCAAAGAAAACATTGACACCTGAGGAGAAGAAGTGCAAAGAGCTGTATAATAAAACTACCGTAAGAGACATCAGTGGAAGATACGTAGTAAGATTACCTTTCCGCGAAGAAAATCCATCTTGTAAAGGTTGTGGCTCTCGTGCTATCGCTGAAAAGAGATTTAAATCTTTAGAAAAAAAGGTTAGGAAGAGATGTAGATTTAAAGGAAAGATACAAGCAGGTAATAGAAGAGTATTTACAACTAGGACACATGAGAAAGATAGATAAAAGGGACAAGAATAGGGATGCAGTGGTATACTTACCTCACCATGCTGTAATCCGGGAGGACAAAACTACCTCGAAGGTACGTGTCGTGTTCAACGCCTCCGAGAAGAACAACAATGGAGTCTCACTCAATGACACGTTGATGGTGGGACCTACATTGCAGTCTAATTTGAGACACACAGTTTTAAGATGGAGATTTCACCCTATTGCACTGGTATCAGACATTGTAAAAATGTACCGCCAGGTCAGGATTTCGGATGAAGATGCAATGTTTCAGCGCATTTTATGGCGAGACAGTTCTGAAATCGAAATCGAGGACTACTAACTAGTGACCGTTACCTTTGGTACGGCATCAGCGCCATACTAAGCTGTCAAAACACTTCATCAAGTAGCCTACGATGAAGGCCACAATTATACAGTGGCTGCAGATAAGGTTCTCAACTGCTTCTACATGGACGACTTGATGACCGGTTGTAACGAAGTAGAAGAAGGCCTGGAAATACACCGTCAAATGACAGACTTATTAGGAAAGGGTGGCTTTTGTTTTTTTGCGCTTGCGCTTCAAAAATGGAACAGTAATAATCAAGAAATAGTAAACAAGATACAGGAAATGGAAAGTAATAGATTGAAAGGATAAATAGATTAAAACAGGATAAAGGATAACAAGGACAACACAAATAATCACAATATCATACAGGACATAAAATCAATAGAACAATATAAACCAAATAAATCAGGACATAAACAAAACGAAATAGAAATAAAACTTGACAGTACTATTAAAATTCTAGGACTTACCTGGAACTGCAACGCAGACTGCTTTCAGTACACGGTGAACCTCCCGATGTCCACGAGCGCACCTGTAACTAAACGAGCTATTATTTCTGTGATAGCACGACTTTTCGATCCATTAGGTTGTTTAGCCCCTAGTGTGATTATAGCGAAGGTCTTCATCCAGAAGTTGTGCCTTGCAGGTGTTAATTGGGACCAGGAGCTAACCGATGACTTAATAAATGAATGGAGACCGTATCGTGAAGAGTTGTTATTACTCACCAAGGTTCGGATTCTTCGTTGGCTTGGTACAAGGTCGAACGACTATCTGGAACTTCACGGTTTTAGTGACGCCTCCAAAACAGCTTACGCAGCTGCTGTTTACTTGCGAGTTGTCGGTTCAGATGGTAACATTAATGTATCGTTGCTGGTTGCTAAAACTAGAGTCGCACCAGTAAAACAAATAAGTATTCCGCGATTGGAACTCTGTGGAGCGGTCTTGCTGTCACAATTGCTATCGCAAACAGCTGAGGTCTTGAATATTTCTCAAGAAAGGGTCAAGGCGTGGACTGATTCCACTTTTGTGTTGGATAAACTGCCACCCAAGCAGATGGAAGACATTTGTGGCCAATAGAACATCTGAAATATTAATCTCAATGAAGGCGTCGCAATGGTTTCACGTCTCCACAAAGGATAATCCAGCAGACTGTGCCCCGAGAGGGATACTTCCTAGTTCAATACTAGAAAACAATTTATGGTTTACTGGACCACCGTTTCTTAAGCTACAAAACGTAGTTTACAATAGGCCAAATCACAACAATTGTACTACAGATTTAGAAGAGTCAGCAAAGGTACATGTAGCGACAATTCTAAACGAATCGTTCTTTGATCGGTTTTCTCAGTTATGAAGATTAGTTAGGATTGTTGCATACTGTCGTACATTTTTAAAGGAGAACGAAATATACAAAAAGGGATATTTACAAAAGACAGAATTAGACGCTGCACTCGAAAGTTGTATAAGAAAAACACAGAGAAAACTATTTGCAACAGAATATGAATAATTAAAGAACAAAGGCTATATACAATTAAAATCAAGCCCATTAAGGTCACTCTGTCCTTACCTTGATGATAAGGACATTATGAGAGTTAGAGGGAGACTGGAGAAGTCAGAGCTCAGCGAACAGATGAAACATCCTATCGTCCTGCCTCACTCCAGTCACCTAACTAAGTTAATCATAGCTGACGCTCACCATAAAACTCTCCACGGGGGTCCCCAGCTCATGATTAACTATTTGAGGACAGCCTACTGGATTATTGGGGTTAGAAATCTGGTCAAACATCATGTCATCAAATGTGCCATATTTGAACCCATATTGTTTGGCAAAGAGCCAATACAAAAAACCAATTTTATGGGTTCACTACCAGCTGTTCTTTGCACCCCAGCTCGACCATTTCTTCACAGCGGGGTTGACTATGCTGGTCCAATTAGCATAAGGACAACAAAAGGGCGTGGCCATCGGTCATACAAGGGCTATATATGCCTCTTTGTATGCAGGGTCACTCGAGCGCTGCACTTAGAAGCAGTGAGTGACATGAGCACTCAAGCCTTTTTAGCGGCGTTCAGACGCTTTGTTTCAAGGCGAGGTCATTGTGCCAAACTGTGGAGTGACAATGGCACTACATTCGTAGGTGCCTTCAGGGAGTTGCAGCAGTTGACAGCGATTCAGTTATCAATAGCCGAACACCTCGAAACGAAAGGTACAGAGTGGCATTTCATTCCTCCTCACAGTCCCAACTTTGGCGGACTTTGGGAGGCAAGAGTGAAATCTACAAAACTCCATTTGAAGCGAGTGATCGGTGAAGCGACTCTCACCTTTGAAGAACTGACGACACTCCTCAGTCAAATAGAGGCGTGTTTAAATTCGCGACCTATGAGCACCATTAACGTTGATGATCCTGGTGAACCACTACCATTGACTCCGGGACATTTTT